GAACATTTGAAATCAGGAAAATACATGGAAATTAAATAACCTGCTCCTGAGTGATTGTTGGGTCAACGACAAAATCAAGATGGAAATTTAAAAATTTGAACTGAACCATAATAATGACACAACCTATCATAATCTCTGGGTGCTAAGAGGAAAGTTTACAGCATTGAATGCCTGCATGAAAAACTCTAAAAGAGCACAAATAAGACAATCTAAGGTCACACCTCAAGAACTAGAGAAACGAGAACAAACTAAACCCAGCAGAAGAAAAGAAATAACAAAGATGAGAGCAGAACTCAATGAAATTGAAACCAAAAAAATACAAAATATAAATGAAACAAAAAGCTGTTCTTTGAAAAGGTAAACAAAATTGATAGAACATTACCAAGATTAACCAAAAAAAGAAGAGAAAAGATCCAAATAAGCTCAATTAGAAACAAAACAGGAGATATAAGAACTGATATCACAAAAATAAAAAATATTCAAGACTACTATGAACATCTTTACATATACAAACTAGAAAGCCTAGAGGAGACAGATAAATTCCTGAAAATATACAACCCTTCTAGATTAAACCAGTAAGAAACAGAAACTCTGAACTGACCACAGCCAGACTGAAATGGTAATTTTAAAACTGCCAACAACAACAACAACAAAAAGTCCAGGACCAGAGGGATTCACAGCTGAATTCTATCAGACATTCAAAAAAGAAATGGTACTAATCCTATTGGCACCATTCTAAAAGACAGAGAAAGAGGGAATCCTCCCTAAATCATTCAATGAAGTCATTATCACTCTGATACCAAAAACAGGGAAGGACATAACAAAAAAAGAAAGCCACAGACCAATACAATATCCCTGATGAACATAGATGCAAAAATCCCCAACAAAATATTAGCTAACTGAATCCAACAGCACATTAAAAAGATAATTGACCATGACCAAGTGGATTTCATACCAGGGATGCAGGGACAGTTTAATATCCACAAGTCAATAAATGTGATACACCACATAAACAGAATTAAAAGCAAAAATCACATGATCATCTCAACAGACAAAGAAAACGCATCTGACAAAATCCAGCATCCCTATATGATTAAAATCCTCAGCAAAATCGGCATAGAAGGGACATACCTTAAGGTAATAAAAGCATCTATAACAAACCCACAGCCAACATTATAATGAACAGGAAACAAGTTGAAAGCATTCTCCCTGAGAAGCAGAACAAGACAAGGATGCCCACTTTCACTACAGCTATTCACCATAGTGCTGGAAGTCCTAGTTGGAGCAATTGACAAGAGAAAGAAATAAAGGGCACCCAAATCAATATTAAGAGGAAGTCAAACTGTTGCTATTTACTGATGATATGATCGTATACCTAAAAAACCCTAAAGACTCATCCAAAAAGCTCCCAGATCTCATCAATGAATTCAGTAAAGTTTCAGAATACAAATTAAATGTACACAAATCAGTAGCTCTGCTACAAACCTGCAGCGACCAAGCTGAGAATCAAATTAAGAATTCAACCCCTTTAACAATAGCTGGAAAAAAAAATACTTAGGAATATACCTAACCAAGAAGGTGAAAGAAGTCTACAACAAAACTTACAAAACACTCCTGAAAGAAATCACAGAGGATACAAACAAATGGAAACACATCCAAACTACGGGATAGGTAGAATCAATATTGTGGAAATACCATACTGCCAAACGCAATCTACAAATTCTTATCAAAACACAATCATCACTTTTCACAGAACTAGAAAAACAATCCTCAAATTTATATGGAACCAAAAAAGAGCCCACATAACCAAAGCAAGCAAACCCCACATAACTAAGCAAAATGTGCAAATCTGGAGTCATCACATTACCTGACTTCATACTATATTATAAGGCTACAGTCACTAAAACAGCATGGTACTGCTATAAAAATAGGCACATAGACCAATGGCATAGAATAGAGAACCCAGAAATAAAGCCCAATACTTAAAGCCAACCAATTTTTGTCAAAGCAAACAAAAAATATAAAGTGGAGAAAGGACATCCTATTCCACAAATGGTGCTGGGATAACTGGCAAGTCACATGGAGAAGAATGAAACTGGATCCTCATGTCTCACCTTATACAAAACCCAAATCAAGAGTGATTAAAGACTTAACCCTAAGACCTGAAACATAAAAATTCTAGAAGATAACATTGGAAAAACTCTTCTAGACATTGAGTTAGGCAAAGACTTCATGACCAAGAACCCAAAAGCAAATGCAACAAAAACGAAGATAAACAGATGAGACTTAATTAAACTAAAAAGCTTCTGCACCTTAAAAGAAATAATCAACAGCGTAAACGGACAATCTTCACAAATTCTGTATCCGACAAAGGACTAATAGCCAAAATTTTCAAGGAACTCAAACAAATCAGCAAGAAAAAAATAATGCCATCAAAAAGTGAGTCAAGGACATGGATAAACAAACAATTCTCAAAAGAAGATATACAAACAGACAACAAGCATGTTCAACAACATAAATTATCCAAGGAAATGCAAATCAAAATCACAATGTAGTATCACCTGATATGGTTTAGCTATGTCCTCACCCAAGTCTCATCTTGAATTGTAATCCCGATAATCCCCATGTGTCAAGGGAGAGACCAGGCAGAGGTAATTGAACCATGGGGGCAGTTTCCCCCTTGCTGTTCTCATGATAGTGACTGAGTTCTCACAAGATCTGATGGTTTTAGAAGTATTTGGCGAGTTCCTCCTTCAGTCATTCTCTCTCTTGCCACCTTGTGAAGAAGGTGCCTCTCTCTCCCTCAGCTTCCACCATGATTGCAAGTTTCCTGAAGCCTCCCTAGTCATATGGAACTGTGGGTCAATTAAATTTCCTTCCTTTATAAATTACCCAGTCTCAGGAAGTTCTTTATAGCAGTGTGAAAACAGACTAACACACCACCTTACTCCTGCAAAAATGGCCATAATTTTAAAAAAAAAATTGATGTTGGCGTAGATGTGGTGGAACATCTTTACGCTGCTGGTGGAAATGTCAACTAGTACAACCACTATGAAAAACAGTATGAAGATTCCTTAAAGAACTAAAAGTAGATCTACCATTTGATCCAGCAATCCCGCTACTGGGCATCTACCCAGAGAAAAAGAAGTCATTATATGAAAAAGACTCTTGTATACGCATGTTTGTAGCAGATTCACAATTGTGAAAACATGAAACCAGCCCAAATGCCCACCAATCAACAAGTGGATAAGGAAAATGTGGTATACATATATACCACAGAATACTACTCAGCCATAGAAAGGAATGATATAATGGCATTTGCAGCAATCTGGATGGAACTGGAGACCATTATTCTAAGTAAAGTAACTGAGGAATGGAAAACCAAATGTAGTATATTCTCACTTTATAAGTGAGAGGTAAGCTATAAGGACACAAGGCATTAATAATAATACAATGGACTCTGGGGGCTCCAGGGGAAGGATGGGAGGGGGATGAGGGGTAAAAGACTATACACTGAGTACAGCATACACTGCTTGGGTGAAGGGTGCAACAAAATCTCAACAATCATCACTAAAGAATTTATCCAAGTAACCAAATATCACCTGTTCCCCAAAAACTATTGAAATAAAAAAAAGATAACAACACATAATGTTGTTGGTATTGTAAGCAATTAGAACAACCCTTTAAAATTATTCTTAGGAGCTTAAAATTAAAACAGTCACTTCCTTAGCAGTATTTTACATGCAAGTGGTTTGGAGAATTTGTGGGTTTCTTTTATTTTTACGACAGAGTCTCACTCTGTCTTCCAGGCAGGAGTGCAGTAGCGTGATCTCGGCTCACTGCAACTTACACCTCCCAGTTCAAGCGACTGTCCTGCCTCAGCCTCCTGGTAGCTGGAACTACAAGTGCACGCCACCATGACCAGCTAACTTTTGTATTTATAGTAGAGATGGGGTTTCACCATGCTGGCCAGAGAGTCTTGAAATTCTGACCTCATGATCCACCTGCCTTGGCCTCCCACTGCTAGCATTACAGATATTAGCCACCTCTCCCAGCCAAATCTGTAGGTTTCTTAATAAACAACATATAAATGTTCTAAATTGACTACCAAGGGAAAGGCACAGTGACTCATGCCTGTAATCCCAGCACTTTGGGAGGCCAAGGTGGGCAGACCACTTGAGATCAGGAGTTCAAGACCAGCCTGACCAACATGGTAAAACCCTGTCTCTACAAAAATAACAAAAATTAGTGGGCATAGTGCCATGTACTTGTAATCCCAGCTACTCGGAAGGCTAAGGCAGGAGAATTGCTTGAACTCAGAAGGTATAGGTTGCAGTGAGCCAAAATCATGCCATTTTACTCTAGCCTAGGCAAGAGAGTAAGAACTCTATCTCAAAAAGAATAGAATAAAATAAAATAAACTCATATCAACCACTTCTAACATTTTATACCAAGGAATATAACAAGATGCTTGGGCTAATTTTATAATTTTTTATTTAAATTAAGATGAATAAATAACTTTTTTACTATTAAAACCATATATTTAAAAAGAGAAATTAATCATTTTTTTCTTTTTTTGTAATCTTCTTTTTTTGTAATTTTAATTTGGTAGAAAAAAATTCTATCCCAGATTCAAGTGATTCTCCCGCCTCAGCCTCCTGAGTAGCTGGGATTACAGGCACCCGCCTAATTTTCTGTATTTTTAGTACAGACAGGGTTTCACCATGTTGGCCACGTTGGTCTCAAACTCTTGACCTCATGTGATTCACCCGCCTCGGCATCCCAAAGTGCTGGGATTACAGACACATGCCACTGAGCCTGGCTTCCTTCAGCTGTGTGTGTGTGTGTGTGTGTGTGTGTGTGTGTGTGTGTTCGTAGGCATGGTATATATGTACAATTAATACTTGCTCACTCTGTGACTGGCCTGCTATAAATGAAACATACAATGAGCAGAACACACAGCACACAATGTAACAGAAGGAAGCAAGTCAGTACCATACCTGGGTTATTGTTAACATTACTTTTGGGTGGCTTCTGAACTGGTTTGGGAAGCGTAGATTCAGTCAAAGCTTTATTAGCAACAGCCTGTTGAGCCTTCTTTATACTGCTGCCTTCGGATTCCCATGTCTGCTCACCAAGACTCAGCTGCACTGAGAACATCTTAGAAAAACATAAATAGATAAAGACAACATTAAGAATTTTCCAAGAAATAAAATGAGCTGTCTGAGAGAAAAATAAACACACCACAGAATCAGAATTTCAGAGCTAGACCTTACATACAGATTATTTGCAAGAAAATCTTACTCTACCTAATGAAGAAATTTTAAGAGAGTACCAAATTCTGTTCTATCCTATTCAAAAGCTTAGTAGCAGGTCTAGGTATACATTTTAGGTAGAATAAATCAAGAAGCAACCTTTCCTCTAAATGGAATTACAACGTTAATGTCATTGTGGTCCTCAGAAAAGTAGAATAAGTACAAAGAATAAGAGAAATTGTAAGGGAAGCCAAAAGACCAAGGGTCTATAGCACTTTTATAAGATCTAATTCCTTAAATGTTACATTTAGCACAATCTAGGCAATGAGTCAGGCAATTCTTTTAAATATTATACTACCAAAAACTCTGAATCTCCACAACAAACATTTAGCCAATCACTAAATTGTGTCCATTTTAACATCATGGATATTTCTCAAACCTTCTTCCTCTCTCTGCCAACAACACTGCACTGGATCCAGCCTTTCATCGTCTTTAGCTTGGACATAATATTCTTCCAGCTGATCGCTGCTAAACTATCTTTCTAAAATGCAAATAAATCCAATTTCATCACCCCAATCAACACCAGGTTAAAACCCTTCAACTGTTCCTGTTTTAGCATGGCACAAAGGCTCTACCTGTGCATCCTCATTTCACATACATCCATCCCCTCACATGTCTGACATTCCACTCACACTGTATTTCCACATAAGCCCCCAAAGTTATTATTCATCTTTAAAATGTAGAATCAAGTTACATGATATGGGCATAATTGGTTTTACTCCACAGACTGCTTATTATTTTCTAGGAATACAAAGTATTACCTCAAAATTACTTCTTAATTACAAAAAAGGATATTATCGCAGAAAGAAGATCAGATAGAAAATACCTTCACTAAGTTAGCATCACCAATAATCATACAAATTGATGTCATGTGCCCCTGAGATGATCCAATGAGAAGTACACATCAACAACCATGTAGTATTCTTGGCCAAAAATGTTTAATCTAATCATAAAGAAACAATCAGACAGATGTAGATTATGGAACATTCTATAAAATAAATGGCCTAGACTGCAAAAATATCAATGTCATAAAAGGAAGAAAAAAAAAGAAAGAATGCAGGGAGGTTGTCATAGATTAAAGGACACTAAAGAGACATGAAAAGACATGATCAATACAATGTATGATCCTTGATTATATCTGAAATGGGAAGGGAAAAAAAGCTATAAAGGACATTTAGAAGACAACTAGGGAAATGTGACTATGAACTGTATATTAAGTAATAGGTTTAGCCAGGATTAAATTTCTTGTGTGATAACAGTATTGTGGTTATAAAGAAGAACATCTTTAGTCTTACAAGGTAGACATGTAAGTATTTAAGAATGAAGTGTCATGGTAGCTGAATTTTACTTTCAAACTGTTAAAGGAAAAAGTATATGTTAATATAGCAAGAAATAAAGCAATGTTGCAAATAAATGATCAGTGAATCTAAAACATACATGAGTGTCTCTTACACTACTCTTTCCATTTTTTTCTGTAGATTTTCAATTATTGAAAAGAGAACTGAAATTTGTCATCTGAAATTCACAACATAAACATACCTGTTTAAAGTGATTAATTTTTCTTTTATTCTAATTCAGTTTAAAATATATACCTAAAATGTACCTTTAATACTCTATCTGGTTTCAAAACAATTTTTCAATGACTAGCTAGCTCTTTGTCTTCCTTCAAATTTTGGTATTTAACAAAGAACTTTGTCACAAAATAAGAAAGTTTAAAGGTTTCACATGATATATATTATATAATCTTACATACAGCCCATATGTTTGAAAACAGAAATACCCACATGAATGATCCTGAGATTCCTGACCGCATCAGGAAAGCACATTAAATTTACTCTGCATGTCTTCAGACCTGACCTCTCCTAAACAACAATCATATAAATCTAATTTTCTACCTGGTATTTCCACAAACTCAAGAAGTATAAGGTCAAACAAAACATCGCCTCCTCCACTCTACCCACTCCAAATCAGTTCATACTCCAAAATGTTTCATCCATTATCTCGCAACAGTTCAGGGTCAAACCTCATTAGTTGCATTTATCCTTGCCTATCCTGGCCTTCCTAAGGCTTATTTAACATCTTGTAACTCTTCCTTGTAATTTCTATTGTCACCTCCATAGTCTAAGGCCCCTATAAAGTCAGACTCAGAATACTTCATTTAGCTCCTGTCTCTAATCTTTCCTGCCTCCTAATATCCAGATGTCACCATTTTCCCAATCTCATGAGCCAGACACCTTTGAGTGGTCCCCTGTTCTCTCCTCCTTCCAATTATAAACTATTGATGCAACTTAAATGTTTTTCAGACCTAGCCTCCTCTCCTTATACTAAAATTACTAAGATACATATATATGCACCAACGTCTTAGTGAAGAATATCAGTACCTCGCCCCTAAACTACCACAGTACCATCTGTGGCATATAAGAAATATGTATTTGGTCTCTGGCCCTGGTTCCTAACACAGAGCTTCCAAAACTTTGTAATTTCCCGAGGGACAGCAGAGCTAGGAGCATTTCTGTTCTAATATTTGGTCTTTGATTCCAATTTCTAACACAGAGCTCTTAAATTCCTTGGAATTTCCTGGGTGACAGGAACAGCTTTTTATTCTAATAAGCCAACTCTTGGCAGGCCCCTGGACAGAGAGGTAGTCTGAGGGCTGGTCATCAGAAAAACTAGGCCATGATTAGAAACTTCATTTTTCAGCCCCACCCCATCCCTATCCACCATGGGTAAAAGAGGCGCTGGAGACTGAGTTAATAATCAATCATGCCTACATGATGGAGCCTCCATAAATATCCCTAAAAGATAAAGTTCAAAAAGCTTGCAGGCTGGTTAACACATTGAGGTACTTCAGGGTGGTACACCCAGGCAGGGCTTGGATCACCATTTCCCTTCTCACACACCTCATCCTATGTACCTCTTTATCTAGCTGTTCACCTGTATACTTTAGAATATCCTTTATAAGAAACTGGTGAACATAAGTATATATTCCTCTGTGTCTTGCGATCTGTTATAACAAATTATAAAACCTGAGAAGAGGGTGCTGGAAAACCCAGGTTTATAGCCAGTTGGTCACAAGTTTAGAAGACCCAGACTTGTGACTGTCAAGTGAAGTGAGAGCAGTGTTGTGAGACTGAGCCCTTAACCTGTGGGGTCTGCACTAACCATGGGTAGTTACTGTCAGAATCAAGTTAAATAGTGGTATATCTAGTCAGTATAAGGGTACAATTAGAGAATTCATTGGTATGGGAAAAAAAAACCCACATTTAGTGTCAGAAGTGAAGTGTTACAACCAGGTGTGGTGGCTTATGCCTGGAATCCAGGCACTTTGGGAGGCCAAGGTGCGAGGATCACTTGAGCTCAGGAGTTCGAGACCAGCCTGGGCAACAGAGAAAAGACCTCAGCACTACTAAAAGTTTAAAAAATTATCCAGGCATGGTGGTGCACACCTGTAATCCCAGCTACTCAGGAGGCTGAAGCAGGGGGATCCCTTGATCCCAGGAGATCAAGGCTGCAGTGACCTATGACTGCACAACTGCACTCCAGCCTGGCCAACACAGCAAGACCCTGTCTGGAAAACAAATTTTTTTAATTAAAAAAAATTTTTTTAAGTGAAGTGTTGAAGAGTATAGAAAAAAACTTCTTTTTACTATCTTAAAGCAATTCCCTTAATATCAGACTTTCCCATTCAAACTACCATTCTTACCACCATCAACATGAACATTCTGTAAAATATAAGTATTTCCAAGGCAATCCTATGCTTTTCTAATACCTCTCTAAAGACTCCTACTACAGTAAAAAGTTTAGTAGTTTTAAGACGGAATCTTGAAGACACACTGTTTATGAGTTTAAGTCATGGTTTGACCACTTACTATGTACAACACTGGGAAGTTAATTATTCTTTCTAACTCTGTTTCTTACCTCTTTAGTGAAACGGTGCTAATAAGAACACATGGTTAGTTGTGAAATTAGAATGAAATGGTGTAAATGCCCCCATTTGAAAGTCAGAGATTGTCAAACTAAATAAAAATGCAAAATCAAACTACATGCTATCTACAAAAACTGCACTTCAAATATAAAAGCCCACATAGTTTTAAAGTAATAGGACAAAAACCATATACTGACATAAATCAAAGAAAAATTAGAATGGCTATATTAATATCAGACTAAGTGGATTCCAGAGTAAAGACTATTTACCAGCGGTAACAAAGGTCATTTCATATGAATAAAGAGGGCAACAAGAAGACACTGATATCCTAAACATTTAGGCACCTAATAACACAGCTTACATAAATGAAGCAAAAACTGACAAAAGTTAACTAGAAAACTGACAATTAGAGTCAGACTCAATGCTCCTTCTCAAAAACCAATATAACAAGTAAGCCAAAAAATCACCAAGAATATAGTAGAGTCGAACAACACTATCAGCCAACACAATCTGATCAACACTGTTAGAACACTCCTACCGAGAGGAGTAGAATATACACCTGTGTTCAACTGTTCACAGAGCATTTTCCAAGACAGACCATATTCTGGGCCAAAAAATAAGTCTCAATAAATACAAATAATTCAGACAACACACAAAGTATGTTCACTGAGTAAAATTACAGAGGATAGAGCAAGATGGTGGAACAGAAGCCACAATAGAAGAAAACATCAGGTAAATTGTAAGGTTTTTGACTCTAATCCCTGGCTCTCAGATGGCATCTCTGGACACCCCTGGAGACTGAGGAAAAACCTGCCATCCTGAAGGGAAGCGCCTTGGGCAAGGCCAGTGCTATGCTGGCTTCAGATCTGACCCAGAGCAATCCCAGGGATGAAGACCACAGAGGTGCTGGCATCACCACA